ATAACAATATACAGATTGTTTACATTGCAGGTTATTAGTGTTACTGTTGTGTCTGGTAATTGTAGCGCTTGCAGTTTTCAAGTAAAGAAGGCGTATCTTTAATACACTTTGGCAAAGCTGTCATGGATTATTTAAATAAAAAGTCTAACCACTTGGCAACCGGCTCAATGATTCCCCCATTAGAAAAAAAGGCGGCCAGGTGGAGTTACCTGATTTTTATTTATCTTTGGGATACAGTAGATAAGTGGAGTTCATGGATGAAAGGCTATTAAAAAATACATTATTTCTTCACTTAGTAATTGATAAATCAATTTTTTCTCCTAACGTGGATCCATTTCTATGTTATTTCAGTTGTATATATATTTGTTTTTTTTGGCAGATGACTCTATAAACCACGGAAAAGAGCAGATCAGCATAAATCCCTGTGACTTCACAAGTCCAGCCCTTGAAGTGCTTGTGACCACATGGCTTATAGGCTGAAACATGTTAACAGCCTGAACTTTAAAAAAAATAGAGATGCATCGGTTCAATGCATCTCTGTGAGGAGATGCCGATAGGCCAGGGTGGCAATTTTTATGGGAAAGCATTGAGATTGGCTGAGATAGTAAATTCTGATGATGTCAGCCAAGGAGGCGTATTGGGGGGTGGAGCCAGATGCAGTGGGGTAGAGGCTAACAGTTTTCAGTGTGTTGTCCTTAGGGGCATTGGAGGTCGGCCTAGATATAGTGTGAGTTTCATTGAAGATCCTATGCACAGTTAAAAAAAAGGTGTTGTACGTTAAGGTCGTAATTTTCTTTTTCCCTTTTTCCTCTTTTTTATATTTTCCCTCACAATAAACTTAGAGTAGGGGTAAACTTCTATATGGGAGAAGAAAACATAGAGGGCTAATTATGGGGTTTTGCTTGTAAGCGGGTGTCACACCATATTAGGTGTGCCTGGATATTTCTGTTTTTCCATTTGATGTCTTCAGGTATATGCCCTCCCTTTCTGGAAACCATGCAGGAAGTATTCCCCCCTTTTTTAGTGTGTACATTTTACTCTTGTTTCTTTTGCAGGTAACCTGTGAGGGGTCAGGGAATCACCTCTCCATGCCCTATGTGATTGTAAAAATAGCATAGGGGGTGTACAGTGACCATTATTAATATTATTATATTTATATAGCGCCAACAAATTCTGTAGCGCTTTACAATGGGTGGAGTAACAAACATGTAGTTGTAACCAGACAAGTTTGAAGCACAGAAACAGAGAGGTTGAGGGCCCTGCCCTCAATGAGCTTACATGCTAGGGAGTGGGGTAAAGTGACACAAAAGGTAAGGGTAGTATTAGGGAAGTAGATTGGTAGAATAGTATTCAATGAAAACTTAGTGTTTAACTGATATGCTTTTGTGAAAAAGTGAGTTTTTAATGATTTTTTGAAGTGGAGATTAGGTGAGCATCTAACAGAAAAGGAAAGGGAGTTCCACAGGAACGGTGCAGCCCTAAAGGTGGTGGAGCTGATGGTAGCACCATTAACATGGAGAGAGACAGAAATGGGAGTAGCAACACTTGAGGGAGGAAAGACCAGAAGTTCTGTTTTGGACAAGTAGAGCTTAAGGAAGTGGACAGCCATCCAGTTAGAAATAGCAGAGAGACAGTCAGAGACACTAGTCAAGAGGGGCTGAGAGAGATCAGGGGAGGACAGATAGATTTGCGTGTCATCCGCATAGAAGTGCTCTTGGAAGCCAAAGGAGCTGATGAGGTTACCCATGGAGGCAGTATAGATCAAGAACAGTAGGGGACCAAGGACACCAACAGAGAGAGGTTGGGAGGAAGAGGCAGAGCCAGAGAAAGAGACATTAAAAGAGCGCTGGGTGAGGTAAGAGGAGCACCATGAGAGAGCAAGATCTCGTAGACCGAGATTACAGAGGATGATAAGAAGCTGTTTATGATGAACAGTATCAAAAGCAGCAGAAAGGTCAAGGAGAATTAGGATAGCGTAGTGACCATGAGATTTTGAAGCGAGTAGATTGTTTGATACTTTGGTCAATGCCGTTTACACAGAGTGCTTAGAGCGGAAACCAGACTGAAGCGGGTCGAGCAGAGAATTGAACTCGAGGAAGTCTGTCAATTTCACATACACAAGTCTTTCAAGGATCTTGGACGCAAAAGGCAGTAGCGAGATAGGGCGGTAGTTGGACGAGGAGTTAGGGTCAAGGTTGGGCTTTTTTAGAATCAGGGTTACAGTTGCATGTTTAAAGGGTAATTTAAATATGCCAGAGGAGAGGGAGAGATTGAGAATTTGAGTAAAAGGCAAAGCAAGAGAAGGAGACAGAGTACGGATGTCATGTGAGGGAATATGATCAAGGGAGCAGGTGGTGGGGCGGGAGGACTGGAGCAGATCAGAAACCTCTTCCCACCATGACACATGTAACAGTATTTAATGTACCTGGTGCCTGCCTGCCCAAACTCTGACCAGAAAAGTCTAATATTAGTCATGGTGGGCTAAGTAACTCGGCCCGTGTAGACATCAGTTAAAGGGTATGAGTGTTACTTGGGAGACCCTAAGAAGTGGGCAGACCAAAGACAAAATAATATAAAATAGATATAAAATGTAAAAAAATACATAGTGTAATTTGAGTCACCTATATCTGCATTAATGAACGGGCTGTTGGATACCGTGGTTTAACATGTGTAAGTTGGGGTAATAGACTGCATATATCACCATCACCCTTCCAGTGTGCACCCTATGCAGCAATGCACCAAGACCTGGCAACCACCAGGCAACCTCGAAACTAACAACAAACAAGACGCTTAGACCTGCGAGCGGGCCCTGGCTCATGCAGCACAGGGAGCACAAAAACAGATGAAATTTAACCTAATCCAGTAATCGGAACCTGAACCAAGGTGAGTTATCTGATCGGAGCTTAGATATTGTGTATTCTTGCACACTTTCCTCCATTCTTTCTGGATTCGGGACCTGCGTTGAGTTCCATGACCCAGCTGCGGAGAGTGCGAATTCCTTCTTCGGGTGCTGAGAGGACTGTCATCTTGCCATTCCCCTGAATCATCAGCTTTGTTGGATATCCCCAGCGGTATTGTATGTGGTTATCCTGGAGGTGTGCTGTGGTCTCATGGAATGCTCTTCTATTCCGTAGTATATAAGCAGAGATGTCCACAAAGATTAGAGTGCCAGTGTAGGTATGGGTGAGCTCCTTGTTGCACCTGCTCACCTTTAGGATGGATTCTTTGATATGAAAGTAGTGTAAGTGCAACAGGGTATTTCTTGGAATTTCAGCCGGTGGGGAACTGGATTTGGGTACCCTGGGCAGGCGATTGAGGAGCAATATATCCTATGGTATATCAGGAGTCAAGTACTTGAATAGACCCACAACATGGGCCTGTATTTCAGCTTGCCCCACTTCCTTAGGTATGTCACGGAGGCGAAGGTTGTTGCACTTTCCTCTATCCTCCATATCTGTTAACTTGCATTCGTAGGTGTCCATTTGGGCCATAAGATCTTCAACCTTTCAGGCTAGGTCCTTATGGGAATCAGCATGCTCTGCCATCTTGTCTTCGATTTCAGAAGTGCAAGTGCCCAATTCTTGAACGTCATTGCGGAGTTCTTTCATGGAAGTTTGCAAGGTGAATTGAATCTTAGCAGAAATTGCATCAAGCATTGATTGTAAGACGCTTTGTATGATCAGCCCATCCACGTCGATGGATTCGGAGGTCTGAGGTGCCTCTCCATTGGCGACATCTTGGATTTCTCAGCTTTGTCGGTTTGCCTCTTGCTTTTTCTCTGCGACATGTCTATTTGCGTGTGAAAAATTCTTGCAGGGTTGCTGTAATATAGCTGTTGTAGGCCGGAGCTAAGCATGCGTCTGCTCCCTCCAAGTTCCAGGACATGCTTCCTACCTGCTAACCATTTTTAAATTATCAGCTGCTGAAGGGCATGTGTGAAGGGCACATAAAGGACTATTTCACAATGCACCCAACAAATGCCTCTATTGTACAGCGCTATGGAATTTGTTGGCGCTATATAAATAATAAAATAATAATAATATTATCAGTACAAATATGTGTAAATGTTTATTTAGAAAGTTCCCAAGTAGTGCACTAATTTCAGGAAAAGTGCAAGTTTGCTGCTGGGAGGGTAGCAATTCATTTTTTTATAGTGTTCAGTTTTATCCTACAGGTAATTATTTCTCTGTGGTGTTCAGGCTTGTTTATAAGGCCAGCTACATACTTTCTTAATAATTCATATAAAAAGGTCTTTAACATGGCAAAATATGCAGCTCAAGTCACTGCATGGATCATATACATGCTTTCTACAACAAAGAAGTGATTTGTGGAAGCATGCCACAGATGAGTTCCAAAAGAGTGTGAAAAAATTCCCTTCATATATTAATAAAAATCCATGACAATCGGTGACAATCCATCTTTGTCATATCCAACCCAAGCTCTGTGATGTGTGTCATAATAATTCAAACAGGAAGATAAATTGTGAGTCTTTATGGTAATGTATGTGGACTAGGCATTGAAAATAGATTTTTGTATTGTATATATGTATTGTATTTTTTCATCTATACTTTACCAAGGGATTACCTATTATTAGAACATAAGAATGTTTTCATTCTGTCTGTCTCTCTGCTTTTCTATCCATCTACCTATAGCTACCCATGTGCATATTAGTAGTAGAAGGCATGTGCTAATGCATCTGGTGCATAATGACCATTTTAACACTTGGTGTCAGGAGGTGTTTCATAAATCCACATATTGCTTAATCCTCCAATCCACCCTTCCAGTATTCAGTTGGTATAATAAGACAAAAAATATATATTTAAACAAAACAAAAATAAAGCATGTATTATATATGTATGGTGTGTATTTATTATGACATCCATATGGCATAAATGTGATCTTCAGGGATTTTCTGTCAGTATCTCTCTCTCCCCTCACCCCCTTCACTTACACTCACTCCATGTGTATCTCTGGAGTGACTGCAGAAGCTGCACTGCTCTAAGACACCGAGACACATGGATGGAGAGAGGGAGAAAGGGAGGGAGAGAGTAAAGTGGACTGACACTGTATAAGAGAGCAGGCAGACCGGGTTGAGAAGAGAAGCCAGACATGTGAATGCAGAAGGCGAGGACTGACCTTAGAGGTACACTGGGATAGGTATACCCATACTGGGCTAGCTATATACACACTAGACTAGCTATGCACAAACTGATCTAGATATACATTTACTGGATTAGATACACATATTGGGCTAGATATACATACTGAGAGAGAGAGAGAGATCAACTGGACTATACACATACTGATATATAGCTATATCCACTGGGCTATACACACGGATATCCACTGGGTTATACACATACTGATATATAGATATACATTGGGCTATACACACGGGTATAGATATACACTGGGCTATATACACTGATATAGATCCACTGATGTATAGATATACACACACTAATATATAGATATACACTGGGCTATGCTCACTAATATATAGATATACACTGGGCTATGCTCACTAATATATAGATATACATTGGGCTATATACACTGATAATTCGATACACACCGGGCTATATACACGGTTATTTATATATACACTGGCTATACACACTGCTATTTAGATATACACTGTGCTACACATGTACACTGAGCTGCACCAATCTGAGCCCCGCATCACGATATCCGCACCGAGCTCAGCAGATCCGCAGCGGGTTGCAACAATTCGCCTCTAGTGCCGAGTTCCCCTTGGTAAATAGCTAACCTACCAAACACCCGAGCGAAGGGAACATACAGTTACTGCAACAGAAGAGGCATCCAGCCACCTGCAAACACCGACGGTCAATTCGCCTGAGCTTCACCCTCCCATATACAGGAGGCACCCAGCCTACACCCACCTGATCACCCAGCTTGCGCCCACCCACCCAGGGACACAATCTCCTTTACCCACAGGAAGACACCGATCTACCCCCACCATTCGCAGGGAAACACCACGGCTGTCACCGAGGGACACTGCGTCCTGCAAGCCAGGCATCTAGGGGACCTCAACCAAACAGCAATGGGGTTTCCTTCTGTCACTCTGTAATATCAAAAGGATATATTACTGTGAGTACTGTGATCTATCTATCGATCGATCGATCCATCCTCGAGCTAGAAATGTATCTAGATATCTTACTGGCTTATTTTATTGTCTGCATAGCTGTTGCACAAAACCGAGTAATTATTAGTATGAAAGGTTTCCTTGCACAAAATGTCCTGTCAGGGGGAGAAAACAATAGTCTAATTCCATTCTAGAAGCTTTGATTATGGATGCAGTCCCTGTTTGTGCATATGAGTATTCTGCATTGTTCATACAAACCTGTTATCCTGAAATGTAGACTTTAGTTTGATTTAACACTCTAATGAATGGAAAAGGCCAGCTATCCCTCTGCTGCAAAGAAGTGACAGATTTTCAGAAAATCAAATGGCTTGCACATATGTGACTGGGAAGGTAGACATTGCTGTATTTATCTAACAGTATTGTGTCCAGGTATTGTATCTGGATATGACACAGTACTGAGTGTTAAATATAAAACAACATTGCCAAATTAATGTCCTTTTTATGCTCTCTGTTCCAGGGTTTGCATCTTCGCTTGTCATCTTGTTCTTTAAGACAAATCTTTGTTCTGAGAACTGGCTCTTAACCATGAATATTGATGGTTATAAGACTTTTTGGCCATATCACCTGTTGTACAGCTCCTGTATTTATTCCCCGAGGAAAAGAGATTGGAGACAAACACACAGCAATCAATGTTTTATACTCTGATGCACCCAACTGTTGATGTGATAAAGGCCTTTTCGTAGAGCAACATGGTAAACAGCATGTCACTGAGTAGAAAAGAAAACCCCTGTCTGTAAACAATTTAATCCATCAGTGCGATGGACCTTAGTTATGATTCCAGGTTTAAACATAGACCACTGCCATGAATGTTAGATATGGACATCCTATTGAAGTGTGCGCCGCCTGTAAGAAATTCTAACTAAAGTTCTGCATGGGCTAAACATCTCTAATTTGGATTCATACATTGTTCACACTTGCGTCAATTTCTTGAATCTCAAGTTTCTGGTGAATACATATCTCATCTTTTGTTTTGCAATGTCACGCCCGGGCATTCTTCTGCCAGTCAGTGGGCAGAATTTTGGAGGTCAAGGGGCTCCACCTCGAGTTGTTGTTTGGGAGTGGCTAAATGAGCATGGACGTTGGAGGCCATATACTGCAACTGTATGCCACCATATTGAGAACGCCCTACGGGAGGATGGCCGAGGACGGGTGGCCTTAGGTCAGATTGACACACAACTTGCACCATATGTCATCGATCTACAAACCATGCATCAGTATCGCCAGGACACAGGTAATGAGATGATAAGGTTTGGATTGCACTTGCACGTCTTATATATGATCTTCTGATGTTCGATTTGTATTTTTCCTAAATATTCCAAGTATGAAAGAGACATGGAATATTTTATCACCTTGCAAGGATAAAATGCTGGCCTGACCTTGCTGGGAATCAAGCATGTCTTTGGCTAAATTTGGTGGCAAGATAGGATGGATTTACAAAATATATACACTGTTAGATCAAAACTGTCATTTATTATCGCAGTTTTTAAGTTTTATGCGTATGGACAAGGAATATCTTTCTGCAATGGAATTTGGCTAGGTAAAGCAATCTTACGGACCGATAAAAATGTAACTCATTGGGAGACATTTATCAATGCAAAAATGTGCTTTTGTGGAGCAATGCGCAATTTAAGAACCAATTACCATGGAAACCAATAGAATGTCTCTCAACATTTAGCTCTTTGCTCATAACACCTGTTTTGTTTTGATAAATCTCCCATGTTATAGTAACCAGTGAGAATAGGCAGGCTAGCATAAATGTGGGCAGCCAGCAACAGACAGAATTGTACCGTTATTATTTTCCATTGGCTGTAAACAAAGTTCTATTTTAGAACATTGACATGAAGACTATTTTCTGCTTTAATATAGGACATAGGAATTCAATGCAAGATAATGTTGATTAAGCAGTGGATCAGACATGCAACACTGCTTATTTCCTTGCCATGTACATAAGGGTACACACAGATATTTACGCAATAAGGCAATGACCACAACTTTATTTTAACCACATTTTGCTAGCTTATTAACTTTCTAACTGTACTATATCACTGCTGCTAGCTGTATGCCTGAGGGTCCACAGGAAGATTACCACCATGTGGATCTTTCACCTAAAGCCCAAAAAAGGTGTCAGACCGCTTGTGATGCATTTGCCCTGGGATGCAGCACTAACCTAACGGTGTCCTCTGCTGGTGTAGCAATCTGCTTCCTTAAGCTACTAGCGCTTCATCCACCTGGATCAGTGTCAATCCTGTCTACTAGAGCATGCACAAGATTACAAAATTGCAAGGCTGCCATAGGCCAAGTTTCTCGATCTGTGAGCCTGGTATCTGGTACCTTTTATCAAGTTTTGTTAACTTCAAGCTTAACCATAAGGCAAGAAATCCTTATTTCAATGAAGTTCTAATACAATCTGTATGAATATTTCATAAAGTATCTTTTTTGTTTTTGTTTTAAATAATTCTTTATTTATAGTTTTTTTTGAGTAAATACCAGTATTGAAGGGAAGGGCTACAGAAGAAAGAGAAGGGAGGTTGGGGTTGGGTTATTACATTGTCTTCCATTCGTGTGTGTACCATCGCAGGGTACTCTTTTAATCATGTGAATACAGTCGCATATACAGGTAGTTCGACCATGGGTTGTGGATTGTGTGAGCAATGTTCGGCGTGGTACACCTTTATCGGTTAACTTTCTGTGTCTGCGTATGCCTATGTTTCATCCTCAGAAGGATGTAGCGAAGGTGATCAGTTCGGGTTAGGTACCCAGGAGTGGGTTTGTGTGTTTTTCTGCTAGGGTTGTAGTTGGGCTCCTGTTAAAATGCTCAATATTAATAGTCTTCTATAGGGTCCTCTCGGTGCCATCATCTACCCACAGGCCTACAGCTTCCTAGGCCTCGCATGTCAAAACTTTAATGGAATTCCTTCTAGATAGCAATGGCCAGAGCAACATTTCTTAATGTGACAACAACAAATAAAAACATTAAATACAAATAAAGAAATAAAAACATGGAGTGTGGGAGGGAAACTCTATAATAAGCTCACTGGACCTTGGCAGGAAACTGTGAGGTAGGCTCCGCCCATCACATTCATTAAACTATTGACAGGAAATGTGTCGGGTTCCACAATTCTACAACTTTATACGTACATTCACATTTAACTGCATATTATTGGAGCAATTACCTGCTTCTTTTCAAACATTTCCAGGGGCCACTTCATAGTAACTATGCATTGATTATTTACTAAACTGCTAATTGTCTGGAATTTAAACTAAAAAAGGCCAAACTGCAAACCTAGCTGACTTTTTTCATTTCAGCTATTTTGAGCATTTGAAATTTGAAATGCCATTTGAATTCTCAACAATTTACACTTTAGTGCAGGGGCAGGCAGCCTTCGGCACTCCATACTGCTCTCCCCCATACTGCTCTTACACCCATAATGCTGGCAAAGCATCATGGGAGGTGTAGTCCAAAACGTCTGCAGTGCCGAAGGTTGCCTATGCCTGCTTTAGTGACTAACACTGGAATTCTAAAGAAAACAGTAACAGGTAGACTTGGGTGAAGGAGGGTCAAAGGTGGGGTGGAAGAAGGGAGGGCAATAATTAAAAACAAAACAAAAAAAAACCTTATGTATACAATGCAGGGAGGCAGGAGGGCTGGGAGGGAGCACCGGAGGTTAAAAGCTGATTAAGTCTGTTGCCAACACACAGTGCTGCAGTGTTGTACAGCGCTACGGAATTTGCTTGCGCTATATTAATAATAGTGGAGTGTTTACCCCTAACAGAGTATAAATGTACTTTTAAGTAGAGACATGGACATATTTTCACCCAAATAAATCTGTAGTTGTTTGTAGAGGCACTCCATTGCAGTGGAACAGCAACCCCTTGCAAACACGACTTTCCCAGGTACCTGAGAGTGATATGGGAACCTGGGAGATATATGAGGGCATGGGTGCCTTTATATACAGAGGAAGCGATGAAACCAGAAAGGAGACGACAGGAAGCGGTGTCAGGTGGTCCAATGGTTAGGGCTGGCAGCAAACGAGCAAAGTCAAGGGTTAAGTTGAAGGTCAGAAGCCAAGAAATCCATGATAAGGAGCAGGATGCCAGGAGACCAGATGCATAAGCACTGGTGACCAAGTGCAGTGCTTGGGTATTTATAGAGATAGCAAGTCATGTGACCATCCCTCACC